AGTCCTTTGCAGGTTTATGGTTTCTCATATTTAAATCATCATAACTGTGAAGATAATCATTTTTTTAATTTATTTTTTTTCAACATGGAACTTTTGATGTTGTCCCTAATTATTATGACAAAATTTGAGCAGAATTCAGCTAAGCTATGTACACATATCCAGATATGACCGTAAAATTGAAAACATTTTTATGTACCACTACCTTTCAATTATCGAACATTTGCTTGCTATCAGGTTCGGTACCACTAAATGTGTTTTGACATGCAAAAGTCTTTCCAAGCTCAGTAGCAAATTTCTTTTTACAAACCCAATGTAATTTTGTAGCACTATGGTCATTTTAAAATTGACTCATGTTGTACATTTTGGTACTAAAAAAAGTATGAATATGTAACCCTAGCAACAAAATCATTTCCTTCCTTGTAACATTGGAATGAATTAGTAAGGTGTTTTTTGTTTGTTTTGTTTTTTATATTGCTTGAGTAAGACAATGAAATTAAGACGAATACTGAAATGAGAGGTATTTTCACTCTAGATTATGCTTAACTTGTTGCCATTGGTGACGACCCATAAACTGACACTAATTTGGTATTTTTACCTAGACAATTTTCCACAGGTGCATGTTTTTATGACTGATAGACAGAACTAAAAAAAGACATTTTTTTTTTCCTGGCCTAGGTTATTGTATGAAGATTTGATCTGCCATTTTCAGATAAATACAATTGAGATACGAAAAAAAAACAGTGGGTTAGTGGGCAACTGAACGCATGCTACATTTGATCTAATACTGAGCTATGACATTTACATAAGCGCATGGACCTGATAACAGACATAATACAGATTTGATATGACATTTACATAACAGCAGAACACCTTGATCAGTTATCTGAGGTAAAATAAGCTAGAGAAGTTACTGCACATGATGATGACATAGTCCCTGTTGTTTCTTGTATAGTGGTACTATAGAATATGGGGAAAACACATGTGGCACACTTTGAAAAGTGATCCAGATATCCAAAGTGAAATAACCTAGACAAGTCACTGTACATGATGTTCCTAGTGAAGTGGTATAGCGGTATAATGCACTACCATAGTGTCCACCAGCCATGGCAAACAGACACCTTAACCAAAGTTCCCCCAAAGTCACATTCATTAGCAAATGAATCTTGGCCAGTGGATCTGCTCTGATCCAAGTCTGTGGCACACTCACCCAGGATAGGGGTAAACCCTTTTATTGGTGTTTAATCAAGGTAGGATATACCCATATACTTACAATTTGAAAAAAGTAGTTCCAAGTTGCAGTAATAAGACATGAGGAAGTCCATGCTCATGCACAATGAGAACGCCTTCAACAGTACGGCGAGTGCCCATCTTATCAAACTCTTCTCTCATTCGTTGAAACCGTGCGGCCACTGATGCATCTTTCTCATAAAGAGGATCCTTCGTACCAAATGTGTAGTTTGTAAGAGGATACCTACAAGAATTAAAATGATAAACTCTTATTGTTAAATCATGTTCTCAACGCAGCGAGTCCTTGTTAGTTATCAAATTTAAGATATACAATAATATAGTTTGAATACAGTGTTCTCACCAGGCTGCGCCCTTGCGCCATTTGTGAAATATTTCAAAATTTGGCGCAAAATTTCAATTAAATCGGGCCACATTTGGCGCAGAAAAAAAAATGCGTTCAAACGGCTTTCCCATTTTGAGTATGGTGGCGCTATCAACGTAGTAATTTATTCCCTAGAGGGGGTCCCACAATTGAGCAATGTCTTGCAATATACGCAACTCATTTCAAGCCTCATGGAATGGGCGCCATGAGCAAGCCAAACGCCACAGACTTTATTGAATTTTGGAATTTGCCGAAACCCTGATTCGGTACATGATGCTCAAAGTATCAGCGATGGACTGAAAACCCCAGCGACAGAATCAGTACCTTTAGAAAATGTTCCAGCAGACACGCAAAATGCCGATGGTATTGAGTCTGGTAGCATAGCGGTGACTGTGGGGAGTGTCACTAATAATGAAGCCAAGGAACATCGACGATTTCAGCGAAGTTGATTAACAACTCCAGTGTTCTCCACAAGGGGTTTTAGGTGGGCGGCCCGCCCATCAAGTTTTACGGCCGCCTAGTAACACTCAACACGCGTCCACCAACGTACATCCAGCTGAAATTATTTGTAAAAAGCTTGCATTGTTCTTCCCAAGCCTAAACAAAAGAGTAGTTGCCCAACCCTTTATTTTGCTATTGTTTCATGAGTCCAAACATAAACAATGACCACTGGAAGTCTGCAAGCAGTTATCAAGTGTATTCATGGCAATGTGTCAATCGCCTGAATTCATCGTTGCCCGACATTGTTGCCACTTATTGCTCACGATACGCAACTACAGTGGTTTCAATTTACAGCTGTATTTTTAATAATCGTCTTCCAATCACGAAAGAAAGAATTAAATACGAACAAAATGTATATGCACAGAAAATAAACAAATATATTAGCATATTGCATGTAAACTCGAACAAAAATTAAAATTCTAGCTGTATTTACAACGTTCGCTCGATTTTAATCGTGAAAACAGCATGGAGAAGGCAAACTGGTGACCTTTTGGCCTACCCCATTCAACGACCGTCAGCCATTCACCAGTGTTGGCGCTGTAACGATTTAGTATCTAAGTTGCATAGGGGAGCAGCGCATTCTGGGTGTTCGTGTACTGAATTCGGAAAGCGGTAATAAACATCAAACATGGCTGCCGGATTAGTTTACCACGTACTTTTTTTCATTTATCCATTTTTTATGTCTAATCTTTCGAGAACATAGCAGATTCTTTTATTTTGCCGATTGCTAGCATTTTTTTTGAATCCCAAAACAACGTGTGAAAACGCAACGTATCGTGACCGTACATGCGTAAATGCATCTTACCGTCCGTCGGCACGGGTGAGTACTGATGCCACAAATAAAAAATGTTATGAGTTTTATTTTGACAAATCGTCCGTTTTGGCGTCGGGAACAAATCACCTCGTATATTTTCTACATTATAACTCGTACTTGCTCTTGGTTACTCGAATTGCATTTCTTGAACGCAGAATAATTTGCGAACGTATAAATCACCGATTTCAAACTTTTTGCATTTCGTAAATATTAATAGTGACCAAACTGTTTGTATTTCAAAAAATTGTAACATGTTTCAATTAAATTAAAAAGAGAATAGTAAATAACTTAGTGTGTATTGCATTTCATGACATAAATGCTAGAAAGATGTATGTAAATGACATGCAAATTAATATGCAAATTTATGCTAATAAGGCCACCCACCAGCTATTTTGGATTGTGGAGAACACTGAACTCATCCACGGCTGAAATACTCGGATGATGAAAATTTGATGTACTGTAGTTGGTGTGTATTCTCAAAAAATAATACTGCTATGACACGGGGAAGTAATAATTTAAAAACTAATAGTAATGGAATAAACATATGTTAAACTAATGTGTGTGATGACTTTATGATTATTTATAAATGTTAACTCAATAAGGGCTGCAATTTTACCTTGATCCAATTTTATTTACCAATTAATGGTTACATCATGGAAATTTTCATCCTTTGAGAGGTAGGTGGACATTTCCCTAAACACATTTACCCCCGGCCCTATTTTATAATTTATGGCTCTGCTTTTTTCAAACGATGGGCCTTTATGGCCCCACAAAAACAGAATCTGGTGAGAACACTGTGAATATAACATGTCAGAGATACAAGTCCAGAAGCTAATGCTTGATTATTATGATTTTTTTTAACATTAAAATGATTGACATTCAATCATCTTGTATCTGATCATTAAACGAGTACTTGTCCATATTGGGAGATATTGCTCTGACTGAAACAGCATTAATTCAAACAAAATGGCCACCAGTTGGCCATTTCGAATCAGAACTTGAAACAAATGCATAGTAAATAAGAAGTATCAGATGAAGTGCAATGTCGCTGTAAAATGTGATTGCAATCAGCCAAGAATATCATAAAAATGGCGAAAGAACAGAATGTATTGTGAAATTGAATGGAAGAAATGAATGATTTTGATGATTTTTTAAAAATTAAAAAACACACAAAAAAAAAACAGCCTTACACATTGCTGCAACATACCGCATTTGATTTGCCGAGCGTGGAAGAAGAGAACAATAGTTGAGGGTCACCGTTTTCGTCAGTTACCAATTAAAGTGCCTGTGCAATGCCCACCCTCACGTTTCCATTTTAGATCTGTGTCCCACTGAAAAGGGTAGTTATTGATTTTTTTGCTGAAAATGATTACTCGTATCCAAGTAAATTTGGGATATTTCTCGTGTTGTAGCCACGCCCACCTATCGTGAAACGGTCGACTGTTTCCGGATTTCCGACTCTCACCGAAAGTGCGCCACCAAATGACAAAATGTGAGAGGAAGTCATCCCCCTGAGCCGTAATAACACTGGTCGTTCAGTATACTTTTAAACGATATACATTTTTCGGTCGGTGTTTTTTTCTTTTTTTTTGTCTATTTTTTTTTTTTTTGAGAGAGAGAGTTTTTAGATGTTGTGTTGTGGGCAGTTGCAGTGAAACATATAGCCATAGTGTATGTATTCACACGTTTCTAATCGATCCGAAGGTGCGACATCACTTAACCTTAGATTCATTCAACTGTCCCCGTCCATAAAAAACAAAAACAAAAAACGACTAGGTTTAAAGAGAAACGCCGACAACGTGAACCTGGCGCAACACTTTTGAAAGAAATAGATTCCGGACCAGCCCATGATCACCGAGGCGGATTTCAGAAGAGAGAGAGACGTCCGGCAAGTGTTTCAAATCAGTTGAATTTTTGCGATCTGATAATCGTTTTATAGAGACCATTTAGCCCCTGTTAAGTAAAAGATAGCAATAATTTTGACAGTGACACGAAAACGAAGCGTCGGACAAACAGGAAATTACACAGCCTTTACACACTGCTAACTGTTTTCATTTTCGAAGGCTAAAAGTTTCTGAATTGTTTGGTGATTGGTGTTGAATGTCGAATTCACACCTCTGTTCTTTTTTACCTCCATGCTTGCAGCTTGATCTGCGTAATAATTTATGAAATAAGAATCCGGGCTTGGTCAATGTGTTTCCACCAAATAAAGTTTTAATACGATGTTATAATTATGACAATCACGCCATGGATCAAGCTAACTCGAATCCACTCAATTTTTCTGTATGTGTGTCGATCTCGATTATTTTTGTTATCCAATTAAACGCCGCTTTTAACGCACTTGCCCGCGACGCGTTCATCTATTTCAACAAAATGTCGATTTATTTCCACGCGGCTGTCATTTATTTAGTAACTGTGATTTGTCGTTTTTTTTAATTATTTTATAGTGATCACTATAGTCTAATGTTTAGAATGTCAAAATATGTTCTCTTTTATTTTGATTTTGAAAGTTTTACTCAGACGATCGATGAAATAAAACAGTGTGGTGACATGCCTAGTAACCTGCTAAATAACGAGATAATTCCGACGTCAAATTCTATTTTGTCCAGCAACAGTGTACAAACGTGCGCCGGTGTCGGTGACGATCCCGGTGACCAGCTACACCAGAACGGACATATTTCGCATCTAACTCAACCCCATGCAACAAAAATTGATACTATGTGTTCATTATGGTCCATTCTTCCTCGACGAACAAGTACATAAGTGACAATATAGTCAAAGACGAGAAAACTGCACAAGAAATTTGCCTTATTTACACGTATCGGCAATGCAAGCTGCCATGCGACTTCCCCTTCTGACGTCTGTATGCAAATGAGAAGCTAATGAGGAGCCTCGTTTTAAAATACACAAACATAAAGTTGCGGTAGACTGAATTTAAAATACATTTTTTCACTTAAAAAATAATAATTCATGCTTAGAAACATAAAAATTAATAATATTTATGTATCAATTGATAATTTTAGGCGTGAAAATAGAAGCCATTTCACAGGCACTTTAAGGTAGAGATGCAGTTTACCTGACAGGTATTTTAATTAGTTAATTAGGAAACCAAGATGACCTCCCTTGTCCACAAAACTATATACTTTCGGAAAACTTATTGTATGAATTTTAAAATTTTTTTAGTATTTTTTTTTATGGACACTGTAGTTTGAAATATGCACAAAAATGTGCTTTTTTGGTCAAAAGTGATTTAAAAAAAAATAGCTCCTAAACCATGCTTCTGTTTCCTGTCAAAATTGGTTTGTGGGTACATCTGTTTACTATGAAGAAAGCGCCGTCTTGAAAACTGTCTACCAGTGTCATTTTGCAGGGAGCAGCTCAAATTT